TGTTATAGATTCTTATATGTGGTAACATGTAAAATTAAGTTTATACTTCCTTTCCAGATGAATTGTATATTATGTCATATTGTGTAAAATTTATGTTTTATGCACATTATCCTTACCATATTCTATGTATGTATACTTATGTTCAAGACATTTTGTATATTGATACAATTTAGGATATTTTTATTATGCTGCCCTTTATAGTTTTACCTCTGGTCTAGACATTTCTACTCTACCTCTGTTTTAGGGATGTATGTATGTATGTATGTATGTATGTATGTATTATTTGTCCCTGCTTTACTCAGGGAAGTTTCAATCAGTTTTATAGCTAGGTTCCTGAGTATTACAGATTATCTTCACCCATGTTTCCTATACCTATGAGATTAGTCAGACATAGATGCTTCATTTTCAAACACTTCATAGACTTGCAGAACATGGCATTTAAATGTTTTAATATTAATACTCCGTTGACATGAGACACTAATGCTCCTGATAGCACCATGCACTTTCCAGAAAATATGTTTGATACTGTTGTCGCTCCTTCTGGAGCCCCTCCTTGCTTTGGCTAATGGCCTCTTGGGCAAAGAACTCCCCCTACCTTGACCACTGATTTGGATGCGCAGTCCTACGTGTTTGCAGGAGACAAACATAGAAGACTGCTGAACCTTGCCAAGTCAGGGTAAGACAGCCTTTCTACCTTCCTGCTTTTGTTGTGGTCTGTCAGGCCTTAGCAAAACTGGCTGTACCAACGTTGCTGTGAGACCCTGGGTGACTGTCCAGGTAGCCTGCTGTTTCTGTCTTTGCTGCACCATTTGGAAGTTGCCTATCTGCACTTCTGTCTACCCTAGTATTGTTATTTTCCTTCTCAGGTCTTTGATGAGGTTGAAGATTAAACTACCACAACTATTATTCTCTCTTCTTAGTTAGATATATTAGGTACTGGACTTAAGCTTTCCAGCTTAGGACAACTCTAAGGTAAACCCCATTATGCCTTCACCCTAGGACTAGATATGTAGGTCTTAAGTTTTTATGTTCGATTTTCCTTTTCTTAGAGCACACTTATTATTCACTCTTTCGTATCAAGCCTAAATCTTTTCTTTAGACTAAAAGGGGAATTGTAGTGAGACATTCACCTTGTCTGCACCTGTGGCAGACCACGCCCATTGGGGGTGGGACAGGGGTGGACATTACCTGGGGGAACTAAGTCTGAGGAGGGGACTCCAGGAGCTCTCTTGCTTGCAGCACGAGGGCAGAAGACCATCCAGAGGCATCCTTGGAACCAGGAACCTGCTGGTGTTCATCTGTCTATGCTGTAAGTTATTTCTAGTTGGCCCATTTGCTTCTCCTGGTCCTTATTAAATCTCATCTGCTGCTCTCCATGCAGGTTCAGTCAGTCTTATGTGAAGGCTGGACAGGCTGCAAAGCCTGTTTTATGTAAGGTCAAGGCTTTGCTCCGAAGCTTGGAAATACAGCTGAACACTTGAGATTTGTATTTATAGGGAGCCTGTGGCACCTGTGGACTGAGCCTAATACAGCTGTCTTCCTGTGTGAGATGGGAGGCAGGTGAGATCAGGTCTGACTTCCCTGCTCCAGGGCTTTTGGGGTTCTGATTGGTTTGCACTGTGAACAGGCAGGACTCTAACCTAGTGTGAAACCCAACAGGACCACAACCTTTCTTCCTGGGCATCCTCCAGTGACAAGTACTCCTGTGGAAGTCTTCCCAGGCCACCCTTCTCAAGTACCCCCCCCCTTGGGTTTTCAGAGGCTTCAGTTGGTAATGTAATAGGGCACCCACTTTTCCATCTGAAAACTGAGGTAACAAACACATTGGACACAGGACAATCCAGTAACAGGGGTCTCAGCACTCTTATCACGAGCGGTGTTTCTGGTTCAGGAGCTGTCTCAGAAGCCGATTCCTTATATCACAAACTCCTTCCTGAACCATCCTACGGTCTCCTGATGAGAAGCAGATCTGGAATTTCCATTTATAAAGATCAAGAAAGTCCTGCATGCAGGTTGCGGCTGGTCTGGTAGCTTGAGGGGCTCAACCTGTAGTGCCACTCACTGGTCTGATGACAGGAACCCTGCTGCTTGAGAGCAAGCCCAGCTACACACTTTAAGGAGCCTTTGTTGTCCCATTCCCATCCCACCTCAGAATTCAGAAATATGATGAGGTAGTTCTTAGCTGTTTGCAACACAAATGAGAAAACAGAATGCCCTACTCCGTCAGGGTTTCCTCTAGGAAGGACCACGCCATTTTTCAACTTTTCCAATTATTCACATTTTTTATTGTATGAAATCACTTTGTTGGGACAGTGACATGGATTGCCTTCCAGGTCATTAAAAGTGGCCTGGAGGCTAAGCCTACAGACACTGGAACTCCAAATGTAAAGAGTTTATCTTTTTTCTTTAATCAATAATAGACTCACTGTGCAAGAATTTAGGCAAGAAAAGTTCAAGTAAAATAGTATTTCTTAAAAACCAGAGCCTCCCATCAGCCACGGGGCATTTCTCAGCCATGAGACTTGCAGTGAACTTACTCTGGTCTTTTGGTCTCTTCCCTTTTAGTCAGTAGCTCGAAGGGAGGCCAGGGTCACTGGGTTCTGACATCCTGCCAGATGAGCACTGTAGGCCCTACCAATGCTGCTAGAATCTCATGCAAACTGACAGACACTTCGGCACAAACACTTGTTAAATGTTCTCAGCATTTGGAAAAGTATTTCTGACACTTTAGTGTCAATCATTTTGTGCTGAAAATGAAAGAACCCTAAACGTACACGTCTCACATCACGGCTTCTGCCAAGGGGAGGAGTAACTAGTCACCTAACTGGGAAGTACTCTGTCATGTCATCAAACAGTAACTACCACAAGAAGAACATTGGGAAAGGACTTCAAGAATCACTAAAAAGTCTGACAATTTTATGCAGAAACCGCCAAAGTTTTAGTGTTTAATAATTAAGACAACTGACCAAGATGTGAAGATACCAAGTTTGAGAAACTGGGGGTGAAGGGGAGGACACTATGAACTATGCAGGCTGTGATAAGAATGCACGCTTCATTAACCTGTCAACACATAGTTAGTTGCAGAAAGCCACTTGGTTTTCTCTTGGCTTGGGAAAAAGATGTTCTGGACTCTGTGAATGTCCACCTGTGAAAGAATAAAAAAACCCATCAATAGCAGCATCCAGGGCATAGCAAAGCCACTCCCACATCAACAGTAGCAAGGAGGGAGGACACACCAAAGCCACTCTCAGAACAGCCAACAACATTTTCCAATTAGTCATCTTTTGAATTCTCCATGCATACTATCCTGGAAAATTAAATTTATTTATAAGTCTTAAGAAAGTGCCATTGTAAATAAAAGTTTATTATGTGTATGTTTCTCTGTGTGTGGGTATGTACAGGTGAGTGGAGGTCGGAAGAGGTTGTTGGGTCCTCTGGAGGTGGAGTTGCAGACAGTGGTGAGTGAGGTCTCATGTGACTGCTGGGAACTGAACTTGGGTCTTCTGCAAGAGTATATGCTTTTAACACCTGAGCTATCTCCCCAGTTCCTTATTCTCTGAATCCACATCCTATTTTCATTCTTTTCATTGTATTTCCCTATCAGTTGAACATCTTTAATCATACAATCTTTCAGTTCTTGACTCATGGGGGTTTTCTCCCACAACATAGCAAAATCCCCTAGCAGCTTCCAAGACATGCTGGACACTTTGCAGATTATCTCTGAACAGGAATGAAGATGACACAGCACATACCAAGCACTTATGAGCATCTCACAGTTTAGCAACCCAGCATATTGTTTATGTATCTTGACCGCCCCCCCCTAGTCTCCTAGATTTCAGAACAATATATTTCAGTCACTGAAAAGCTGGTTCTAGGCCAAGCCCAGAAAATAACCCAGAATCTAAGAGGCAGAGGCAGAAGCAGGTGGGTCTCTGTGAACCTGAGGCCATCCTGGTCTGTACAGCAAGTTCCAGGCCAGCCAGCTAGGGTTGCAAAGTAAGAGTATGTCAAACAAAAACAAACAAACAAACACAAAAACCTGAGGGCTAAGTACCCTTCCCTCACAAACACAAGTGAAGCTACAAAGAAATTTACCACATTAAGTGGTTTTGTGCTTGCCACTTTCTTGTATCTGAAATGATTCATGGAAATTTAATCCAGTCTTAAAGTAAAGGAGTTGACTCTGAAATAAAAGTCACAAATGTCTCTAGAATTTGATAGATACTCATGTAGGTAACCTTAATTCTCTGCTGTTTCTAAAAGGAAACAATGAAATAATTTTCCAGTGACCAGGGCAGGGCACCAAAACACATGCTCTGAAATGATATCATCTGGTGGTCTTCTGTTGCCAGCTCACCAGCCAGAGATGTGTCCAAGTTCCAGGTGTGTTCAATGCAGGGCCCAGGATATGAGTGAGGCCCATCTCAAAACTGTAAACTTACAAAACATCAAGGGGCTACAGATGGCTCAGCAGTTACGAGCACTTTTTGCTCTTGGAAAGGACCTAGGTTTGATTCCTAGCACCCATATGGCAGGCAGCAGGTCCTGTCTGTAACTCCAGTCCCAAGGGATCTGATGCTTTCTTTTGGTTTTCCATAGCACCACGTTTGCATGAGGTGCATATGCAAGCAAAACACTCACATATAAACAAATCTTTAAAAAACGAGTTCTGTCTTTTATCAGCAACTCCAGTCTTTCTAAGTGTGAACTTTGCAACTTCAGTCGATTTACATGTGAACTTTGTAGTTGGCAACATTGCTATTATGTGTACAGCTTGGACATGCCCAGCAGTGATACAGTTTTAAGCAATGAAAACTGGAAATGTAAATTCTACCTAAGGAATTAGTTTGGGAAAATCTCAAAACATGGACTTCGTGGGTGGGGTACAGAGAGATGCTGGCTGGGAAATGACAAGGGTGAAATCTATCAAACTACATCAACATCACACTGATGGCCACTTTCTGTGTTTTGCATTAGTACACTGGTGCCCTCCCTTACCTTCAACTTTTCTGCGCCGTAGGAATCTTGTTTTCTCCTTCCAGTTCTTCCACTCCAGCCTGGGTCATGAGGTCGGCGATATTTTTCTCCAGATCGTCAATGCGACTGCTCATGTCATCGAGTGGCACAGTTAAAGAGCCCACACACCAACATCCCACACCATCCCTATCCTCCAGGCCCCTGCAGACTGGCTTAAGCAGCTGCTTTTCTGTTTCTTCTGGCTACAGCGACTGCCTGGTGGTCAGAGGTACAGGGTACCCAGGTGAGTTCTCTTTCCTAAGCCACGGTTTCTTCATTCACCAATCCCAGGGGGCTCTATACCCCATAGGTAAAGATACGAAGAGGCCTGGAGACTGACGGGCTGAGTGAGCACTCCTAGCCGACAGTCACCACATAGCCCAGCGCCTTTAGCTGGTGTTCTGGAGGAACCCCAACAGGGAACCTGGGTAGCTGGGCCACGACTTTGGCTCTTGGCACAGTCCTCCTCAGGAACACAGTATAGCCAAGATCAGCAGAGACATTTCTAAGTGTGGCTGGAGAGATGGCTCAGGGTTATGAGCACTTGAGGCTCTCTCAGAGGACCTCCTAGAGTGTGGTTCTCAGTACCCAATCCTGGCAGCTCACAACCGCCTGTAACTCCACCTCCAGAGGATCCAATGCCTCTGTTCTCTTCACCCACTCACACGCCCCTATTATACACATAATTAAAAATAAAAACAAACTTACTGTTAAAAAAAGAAAAGGAATTTCTGGATGACTAACTTACGTCGGTTTGCAAACCTCCCGTTTACCCCCACCATTAAGAAGCTGCCTCGGAATCAAAAGGATATTCCTTCCAATGATCTGGTCGGACATGATCTGAAACTTGTCTTGCATCTGCTGCAAGAGCGTCTCCACCTACGAGAAACCAGAACAAGTCCGCCGATTCCAGCTTATTCCCAGACCCCTTTCCTGGGAGGAAGGGGAAGCGAGGACGCGGGCGGGAGAGGGGGTCCCGGCAGGTGGGTGAGACATTTAGCAAGGCCCCACCAGGTCGGGGTTGGTACTCCCACGGGCCAGGTCATGAGGGTCCGTGTCGGGGCGGCGGGAGGGCGAGCCCCGCAGGTGCGCGGGCCGAGGCCGCTGGCCACACCCCACGCCAGGGCAGAGAGCGGCCGCGGAGTGTCGGAGCCCATGTGAGTCTGCTTACCACCAAGGTGATGTCCTGCATGGTCTTGGGGTCCGTCTCGGCCATCTCTCCGGTGCCCAGCTTGGCGGCGATGTCTCGGAACCGTCACCTACACTTCGGTTTCTTGGCGCAGACGCCCCCAAGCCGTCAGTTCTCGCGACAACACAGTCACGGGACCGCGAGGCATTGTGGGTATTGTAGTTCTCGTTATGCACCGGAAAGGTCTGGGAAACTTCAGAGCCTCCTGAGGATAGGCTCCGCCCCCAATCTTAGCTCCGCCCCCACCCCCGCCCCAGTTCCACCCTGCGTGCAGCACGGAGCGGAAGCGGAGAGGAAACCGGAAATGAGTAAAGGTTACGGATATTAACGTTGGTTTTTTTCCCCCGTGGATGTAGTCAGACACACAGGCCTTGCAAGACAAAAATGTGGGTGAATGCGCTTGCCACCAAATCTTCCACTGGAGTTCAAGCCTACATGTTTGAAGAAGCAGCTCTCACAAATTGACCTCTGCCCATTACACATGTGCTATGACATACACACAAATTAATGTAATTTAAAAAAAACTCCTTAAAGTTGGTGAGAGTGCTCTAACTGGATGTCTGTTCTTCACTAAGACCTATATTAGAAGACACGGGCCAACAAGTATGCCGAGGCCTGTAATCCTACTTACTAGGGAGGTCGAAATAACAGGGATCCTGAACTGCAGGCGTGACTGAGAAAACTTACTCAGACTCTGTCTCAGAAACAAAACAAAACAAAAACCTAACAAGCAAAAAGAGGGTGGAATGGAATGCACCCAGTTGCAAAACACTTGCCCAGCATAAACAGCCTAGCACTGTAGAAACAAAATAAAACAAAACAACAACAAAAAAAAAAAACCTCAGGCTATTATTACCCCCATCCTGGAGGGCCATGCAGCACAGGAGACCCAGTTTGCCAGTGTTTCACTGTGATCTAACCTGGCTTCTTTCAATGATTTGGCTGCCTGATGCTAAGTGAGGCAGGTCTTCATTTGTGTACAAGAGGGAGCAGTGTCAGGAGAGTGAACTGGGACGCTTGCGTCACAGACACAGCTGTGAGTTGGTAGGGCACTGGTTCAAATAATACTTACCAGGTTCCATAGAGAGATGTGCCGAGACAGCTCTCAGGTGAAACCATTGTTAGTGATTCAAGCCACTCAGTGGAAGAAGCTGGGATAGGGGATCCAATGAACAGAACAAAGGGGTTCTTTACATTTATGGACCAGGGTGGAGTGGGTCTCAGCTCAGAGGTGGTGTCCCAGGTGTCTCTGAGTCTAGAAAATTAGGGAAGGTACTCACTGGTATATAAGGTTCTACCTTGGGGCTGTTATAGGGAGCTTAGCCTTGTAGGGAAGGCACTAGACAGGACAGGAAGTGTGGCCTGTCCTCTCCGCAGAGCCATTACCAGCCAGAGTTCTGCATGTTACTGGGTAACAGTGAATTGTACAGAAATATGGATGGTTGTGGGTCAGGAGATAGTTTACTAAAGAAGAGAAACGGGACCTCAAAGTCCCACCAGACTCTGAGGTTTGGCTCCAAAAGGACCAAGTCTGTGACCTTCCATAGGTTGTGTATTTACTGTGTGCCTTTATGCAGTCTGTTCTCTAAAAGAAGCAGCATCTAGGAAAGTTTCCAGAATTCTGCTTTCTGTTGAGTTAGGACCCCAACTTCCAGCCCTATGGGTCTCAACAATGGGCTAAGAAATTCCTTGAATATAGGTCTATATGATCCAGCAACTCACACACCTGATCTCAGAGGACTGCATTTTGGAGTGGGGGTGGGGTCACTCCAGTTTGAGTTGAGCTGGAGGAAGATGTACATCCCATTAGCATTGGTAACTAAGATGGATCAGGCTTGGCCAGGGAGGTGTGTGGCTCAATTGTCTTCCCCAGCTAGCCTCTGACCACATCCTTATCAGTTCCTTCATGCTCTTACTCAATTCACACAGAGAACTTCCTACCCATGTTAAGTATACAAAACAACTGTGTGTATGTGTGTGTATGTATACATGAGGATGTATGTGTAACAAGGTGTGTACATGCATGCACATGTGTGAGACAGTGTGGAAGTTAGAGGCCCATGTTGGGAGCTACCAAGTCATTTTAGATTAAGGACCCCCTCCCTTTTAAAAAACTTTTTGGTTTTCCAAGACAGAATTTCTCTGTGTACCACTGGCTGTCTTGGAACTCACTCAGTAGATCATGCTGGCCTCAAACTCACAGACCCTTAACTGTTATATTTGTAACTACTCTATTTCAAAATGATGTCACATTCTGAGCTGGTGAGGGTTAGGATTTCAATGAATGTTATCTGGGTATACAATCCTCCCTCAGTAACTCATAGGGGACCATGACTTTAGTTTGTACTGTGCTCTTGTATAAAGAGTTCTCATGAATCTCTGGCATCAGTGGCCAAGGGCAACTGCATCCTTTGGCTACTGACTTCAGGCCCAATTGTTCAGTGTAGACATCTGTACTGGGGTTTCTAGTGAGGTCTAGGCCTATGACCATGATCAAGCTCAAGTCATCTATGAACCAGTACTCAGACAAGAAGATGATAGCTTTTTGCTTCTTTTACAAAAAATATTTATTTTAATTGTGTGTGTGTGTGTGTGTGTGTGTGTGTGTGTGTGTGTGTGTATGCATGTGTGTGCTCTCACACTCCAACACAGGTGCTCTCAGGTGCTCTTAACTGAAGGGTCAAGGGTCATCTCTTCAGCTTCTTCTTTCTTCTTTCTTTCTTTCCTCTTTTTTTCTGGTAGGAGACTCGTAGTTGTTGGTTTTTGTTTTTGTTTTTTTCTTTTTCCTGATTGAATTTTTCTTCATCTAAACAGCAAATGTGACACTCTGAGTGATGGCTTAATTTTCTTTCTTACACTTACAGAGAAAGATGGATGTGCTTTCTGGTGTGTTGAACAGCTGCTTTTCACAAAAACCTCTCTACACTCAGAGCTGATGCCCTCTTTGTAGGGGATGACACGTAGCCCAGATGAATTTTGTTCTGTTAATGAAGCTGCTGCACACATATATGCAAGGTGCCAGGAATTGACCTTGCATTGAAGGCTTTGAAGTTTGGATCAATCTCATTTTTAACCTTTCAGTTCATGCTGAAGTCGGCTTACCTCCTTTTAGCATTTTAAAAGCTTTTCCTAGATTAATTTTAAGTTGTAATCCCCTTCCTCATGTTCAGAACAATGTGGATTTTACAAGAGTTTGCTATGACACTTTTATGATGGCTTTTGGTTCATGCTGGGCCATTCTTGACACTCCTGTCTTGGATCTACACAAAAGACAAAAGAGGACCCTACTGTGCAAAATGGCTTTTTTCCCCTTCAGTAATGGAGATTGAACCTAGAATCCTGAATATAACAGGTAAGTGCTGTATCACTGAGTTATATTCCCAGTCCCTTTAAAAAATTATATTCAAGTTTTTATTTTATGTGTACAGATATTTTTATGCATGCATATCTGTGGCACCTTGCACACGTCTATGGAGTTCAGTAGATGGTGTCAGATCCTCAACTGTATGTGCTTGTCTTCCTGTAGGTGTCCAAGTAGGCCGAGGTGCTGGATCTCCCGGAATCTGGAGTTACAGGTGGTTGTGAGGCATCTGATTTGAATGTTGGGAACTGAACTCAGCTCTCCTGCAGGAGCACTATGCTCTCTTAACTGCTGAGCTGTCTTGCTAGCCCTCTGATGTATCTTTGAGGGCGTTCCAGAGAGGTTTAGTAAGAAGGAAGACCCACTCTGGACTTGGGCAGCCCCACCCCATGGACTAGGAGAAAACAGTGAGAGGAATGAAAAAAGGAGAAAGTGAACTGAGCACTGGCGTTCACCTCTTTCTGCTTCCTGACTGTGGATGCCATGTGACCACCGGTCTCATGTTCCTGCTGCCATGGATTCTCCACCCTGTTGGACTGTATCCTCAAACTGTGAGCCCAAAGAAAGCCCCTCTCCACTATGTTTCTTTTGTTGGGTAGTTTGTCATAGAAACCATAAAGGTAATTGATACACAGGACATGAAGGTTCTTTCACTTTCATTGGCCATTCCAAACCTTCCCAGGCTTTCCCAACCTGCTATTTCACCCCTCTTACTCCCAGAGGCTGACTTTATGTTCTAAGCAGAAAATCACCTGTGGAAGATAAAGGCTCCCAATCCCAATCCCACCCTCTTTGCCATCACTGGCTCCTAGGTAGGGATGCAGGGCTGTGCACAGTTTGGGTAAACACATTTTCATCCCGTGTCTGCCACTCACTCCAGAAACTTGCTTCCTCTGCCCCTTCTTTCCATTGACCCTTCATCTCAGCAAACAAGAGTGGCAGACAAATAGAAAACCCAAGCTATGTATGATACTGAGTTTTTCTTATCTCAGCATGGGGAGGCTGCTATAAGAAGATCTCAAGTTAAAGCCAGTCTGGGCTATAGTGTGATACTGTCACCAGCCAATCAGCCAACCAGCCAAGCAGTCAGGCAGACAAGTAGTCAACCAACCAGCCAGATAACCAACCAGTTGTCCACCAATTCACCCAGCCAACTAACCAATAAGCCAACAAACCAACCAAGTAGCTAACCACCCAACAAGATAGCCAACCAGCCAAGCAAGCAAGCAAGCAAGCAAGCAAGCAAGCAAGCAAGCAAGCAAGCAACCAAACACCCACCCACTCAAACAGCCAACTAGCTAGCCAGACAGTTAGCCAGCCAGCTAGCCAAACAGCTAGTCAGCCAGACAACCAACCAGCCAAACATCTGCCCTCCCACCCACCCAATAAACCAGCCAGCCAGCTAATCATCCATCCATCCATCCATCCATCCATCTGGCCAATCAACTAGCTGAAACAAGAGACAAACCCAGAATAAACCATCACCACCACCATCACACCAGAAAAACAATAGTAAAGTCAGCTGCCCTTCCTGTCTCAGCTTTCTGAGTGCTGAGATCATAGGCATGCATCTCCCCACTGGCTTTACTTCTTAGTACACAACTAAAGACAATTGTCCCATTTTCCTGCTCTTTTGGTTTGTTATTGTTTTACCTTCCATTGTATTTGTTTTGACTTCTCTCCCAAGTGAAACTGGTTCTTTTTTTGTGATATTTTTCTTTTAAAATGAATATAAGTAAAATTATAAATTTATTTTTACTTCATTACGTGTGTGTGTGTGTGTGTGTGTGTGTGTGTGTGTGTGTGTGTGTAGTCTGAGAG